CTTCCACAAGGACAAGAACATCCGCCAGCACAGCACCATCCTGGGCGACCTGCTGGCCGGCCTGGGCGCGGCGGGTCAGTTCGTGGCCTTCGCCGACGTGTACACCGCCCTGGAACGCGGCGTCCTCGACGCTGGCATCACCGGCGGCACTCCCGGCTACGGCCAGCGCTGGTACGAGGTCACCGACTACCTCTATGGCCCCATCGTCGGCTCCATCGGCGTGACCTACGTTACCGTCAACGGAGACAAGTGGCGTCAGCTTACCGCCGAGAACCGCGAAATCCTCAAGGAGGTGGGCGAGGAGTTCGAGGCCGAGAACCTCCGTCTCCTCAAGACGGATTGGGACCCGGCCGGCATCAGCCTCAACGTCGCCGAGGGCATGGAATATTCTGACTTCCCGGACGACGTCAAGGCCCAGATGCGCGACACTGCGCTCAATGCCATCATTCCCAACTGGGTCGAGCGCGCCGGCGGAGCCGACTCCGAAGGCGTCAACATCTTCAACGAAAAGGTCGGCCCCATCGTCGGCGTGGTCATCAACCCCGACGGCACGGCCAGCGGAGACCACCACCGCGATGATGCCCGCTACCGCCGCCTCCGACACCATGGCCTCTCAAACCCAGTTGGTAACCCAGGGCGAGAGCTTCGAGTTCCAAATGACCTGCATCAACCGCACCGTTGCCCCATGTGAACTTCTCACCGGCTTCTTCATACCCGAAGTTGCGGAGCGCACCAACGGTCAGGTCCAGATGGAAGTCTCCTCATATCCTGAGCTGGGTATCGCCGGACCCGACACTCTTCGCCTGGTGGGCGACAACACCCTGGAACTTTCCATAATCTACAGTGGATACGTGGGTGGCGACCTGCCGATCCTCGATATCGGAAACCTGTGGGGCCTCTCGCCCAGTGAGGAGGCTCACCTGGCCCTCGCCGATGCCATCGACGAGGACTTGGTTGCCGTGCTGCAGGAGACCACCGGCGGCCAGCCCATCCTGCGGCAGTACTACCCCAACCAGTTCCTCTTCAGCCGCGATACCCTGCGCACCGTCGCCGATTTTGAGGGTAAGAAGATCCGGCAGCACAGCACCGTGCTGGGCGATCTGCTGGCCGGACTGGGCGCGGAGGGCCAGTTCGTGGCCTTCGCCGACGTGTACACCTCCCTGGAGCGAGGGGTAATGGACGCCGGCGTCACCGCCGGCGAAGCCGGACACAGCCAGCGCTGGTACGAGGTTACCGACTACTTGACCGGTCCCATCGTAGGCTCGGTGGCTGTCGCCTACCTGGTGATGAGCGGTGACCGCTGGGATACCCTTCCGCCCGACATTCAGCAGATCATGCTCGAAGTGGGCAAGGAATACGACGATCTGGCTCGCAAGACCCTGATCGAGGAGTGGAACCCCTTCAGCAGTCAGTGCCAACGTTGAAAGCGCATGACCCACGAGCCATTCTCCGACGAGGTACAGGCGCGTATGCGGGAGATTGCCCTCGACGTCATCTGCCCAACTGGGTGGAGCGCACCGGCGGCCCGGACAGCGACGCGGTGAAGCTCTACAACGAGAGGTTGCCTCCATCCTGGCTGGTGGTCATCAACCCCGATGGCTCCGCCAGCGAGACCGCGCCATGATGTCGGGCCGGAATCCGCCACGAAGCAGGCTACATCGTCGCCCCATCGGCCCATCGGCGTCGGCGTCGGCGTCGGCGTCGGCGTCGATGGTGAGGCCGAGGACATCAAGTAGCTAGCAGCTGATCAGGGCCTCCCGTCTTCAGGCCGGGCTGATAAAAGACCACGGATCGCGGCTAATATCGCACCTGGTTGACTTTTATCAGACACGGTCAATATAGTCCCGGCCTGGTGTCATATTCGGGGATTCCTCCCCTTTCTCTTATTGTATGTCTAGATTCGATGATTGCCGGAGCATCTCGTAACACTGTGGCCGGCTTTACCGGAGGCGCCTGTGTGACCAACAAAACCTGCCAGCAACCCCCGCGCCGGTTCTGTTGACCCGGTTAATTTACAGATCGACGGCGCTCTGGACTGGGTCTACCGCATATTCGGATACATCTGCGGTAGCCTCCTGCTGCTCCTGGGCATCTACATCACCTACCAGGTGATTGTTCGCAAGATTGGCGGACCCGTCCTGGGCAACCAGGAGTTGATCGGCGGCTACGTTCTGGCCTTCGCCGGCACCTGGGCATTTTCCTACTCCCTGCGCACCGGGTCCCATGTGCGCATCGACGTGCTGCTGCCCCTCTTCTCGCGCATTCACCCCTACATGCGATCTGCCGCCGACTGGTTGGCCCTGGGGTCTGTCGGTTTCTTCGGACTCATCACCGCCATCAAGAGCTGGGAAGAAGTGGCCGAGTCCAAGTGCATCCGCACCAACTCCGAAGGCCTCTGCGAACCGGCGCTGGCCAACACCTATCTCATCGGAGACTTCCTGCCCGAACTCTGGATGTTCCAGATGATCGTCGCCGTCGGGTTCACCATGCTCACCTTCACTTCATTCCAGTGGATGCTGAGCATGATCCTGCGCGGCCTCCTCGAAATCTGGCACAAGAACTCCGGCGGCAACGTTGCCGACCTCGCGGCTGACGCTGACGTCATGCAGGAAGCCGCCTCCGGCGTGTAACCGCTCAACTTTCTTCGCACAACCCTTCTCTTCGCACAACCTTTCCGACGCCACGGCAGTCGCCTCTCCGTCGGCACCACTGCACGAAGGACTGTAAACATGGCAATCATCGCCGCATTCAGCATGATGGGAGTTTTCTTCCTGATTGGCCTCTACGTCGCCGGCGCCCTTGGTGTGCTGTCCCTGGTGATGATGCAGGTGTTCTCGGATGCCCCGCTGTGGAACATCCTCGGCAACAAGGCCTGGGAGAGCAACACCAACTTTATCCTGGTCGCAGTCCCTCTCTTCCTGCTCATGGGCGAGCTCATGCTCCGTTCCGGCATGGGAGAGCGCATGTACGGCGCGTTGTCGCGCTGGCTGGTGTTCCTACCCGGCGGCCTGCTCCACACCAACATCGCCTCCTGCGCGGTCTTCGCCGCCTGCTCCGGCTCCAGCGTCGCCACATCCGCCACCATCAGCCGCGTATCCCTGCCTTCCTTCCGCCAGCGCGGGTACAGCGAGCGTCTGGTCATCGGCTCTCTGGCCGCCGGCGGTACCCTGGGCATCCTCATCCCGCCCAGCATTGGCCTCATCATCTACGGCGTGCTCGTTGAGGAATCCATCGGCCGCCTCTACATGGGCGGATTTTTGCCCGGCTTCCTGCTGGCGTTCACCATGATCGTCATGATGGTCATCACCTCGATAATAGTGCCGAGCACCGCGCCCATGGAGGAGGAGGTGCGCCGTCTCTATCGCGCCTGGTTCCACGGGCTCCGCATTCGACGCTACAACGACGAGCAGTTCGCGGAGTTGCGGCGGGAACAGGCCGTAGAAGCGGGCATTGCGGATAAACACGACCGGCAAGACTATCGTCGCGGGCGGTCCGTGTTGTCCTACGGCGAGGCCGTAGCCGAATGGGGCAGGATGCTTTTCGAAGCCCTGATCGGAATGATGTCCATCATCCCGGTTCTTGCCATCATCCTCCTCGTGCTCGGTTCCATCTACACCGGTTGGGCCACGCCCACCGAGGCTGCGGCTCTGGGAGTGGTTGGCGCCCTGATAGTTGCCGTCGCCAACGAACTCTACCGCAAGATAAGCAACAACCGGGCGGCCGTTATTTTGGTCGGCATTCTGATGTTCCCGGTGGTGGTCTTTGCGTTGGACGACTATATCCAGCAACGGCGCGGCCGTTTGTCGGGCTCCGCCGCCACGCTGGTGTTGCTCGGTTTCATCTTCTTCCCCGCCTGGTATCTGGCCATCTACATCATCGGCCGGCGTGGCGAGTTGCCTCCTCCTTCCTACAAGGACTGGAATCAGGCTCGCGGCGCGGTGCAGCACATGGTCATGGACGCCATCATCTCCACCGTTCGCACCTCGTCGATGATCATGCTAATCGTCATGGCCGCTTTCACTCTCAGCTTCGCGTTCGCCCGTCTCGGCATCTCGCAGGATATTTCCGAATGGATTACCGCACTGAACCTGAACGCGCTCCAGTTCGTGATTATCCTGGTGTTCTTCTACCTGCTCCTGGGCACCTTCATGGAAAGCTTCGCCATGCTGGTGACGACGATTCCAATCCTCGCGCCGACGCTGGAAGCGGTGGGCGTGGACCTGGTCTGGTTCGGCATCATCATGGTGATCCTCGTCGAAGCCGCCCTCATCAGCCCGCCCGAGGGCATCAACCTGTACATACTGCACGGGGTGCGACAGGACGTTGACCAACAGATGGCGGAACAAACGGCGGCAGCCCAGGATGCCTTAAAGGAAAGCACCATCACGGATGTGTATATCGGGGTATTACCATTCATGGGCTGCATGGCCGCGGTGATAGCACTATTGTTCGTCTTCCCGGACATCGCCCTCTGGGCCCCCTGCATCATCTACGATGACCCCAGCCGCGAGTTCCTGCAATCGGTCAACGTCGAACGGGACGCCGCCGGCTTCTGGGAGAACATCCGCTTCTGCTCCTCTGAGTTCCGCCCCCGGGCCTACCAGTAGCGCGGGCGACGGCTTCCCCTGCCGTATAATGTCGGGAGCGCCTCTGTCGCCGTTGGGGGCAGGGGCGTTGCTTTGTTAACGGCTACCGAGCGTATTCCGAATACGGCTCAGGCATCGATCCGGAGCGAGGAACTGCCATGAAATACCGTGTTTTGCTCCACAAAACGGAAGCAGGTTACGTCGCTATTTGCCCCGGCTTGCCGGACAGCAAGGCGCAAGGCGCAACCGCCGAAGAAGCGTTGGAGAACGTTCGGTACGAGATCTCCGGTTCGGTTTCCGAGCGTGAAGGGCGGTTCTGGCAGGACGGTGACGAAGACGAACGCCTGGAAGAGGTGGAAGTCGCCGTCGGTGGACGCTTCGACGTTGGCAGCGGAGGTAGCTCCGCGAGGTACCCCATATGCGTGATCAAACACTCGGAGGGCTATGCCGTCTCCTGTCCGATGCTCCCGGGATGCTTCTCTCAAGGTAACACTATGGACGAAGCGTTGAGCAACATCCAGATCGCTATTCGCGAATGGCTTATTTCCGCCCAGGAAGTGCTGCTGCTGGGTAAGCCTGATATCGAGGTCATCGAGAAAGATGATGAAGATCAGGACGCTGCGTAGCTATGCCCAGAGTCCCTGGGGTCAATCACCTTCGCGCGGTGGTGGCCCTGCAGAAAGCCGGTTTTCGAATCGCCAACCAAGGTAAGCACATAAAAATGGAGCGAGGGCAAATTACGCTGATCATCCCCCGCCAAAACCCCATCGACCCGTTCACCATGGGCAGCATCGTCCGGCAGGCCGGCCTGACCGTGGCCCAGTTTCGCGACCTGCTGTAGCCCTCGCGTCAAAACTCACCATTGACCCCATCGGCCGGCGGCATTAGCATACCCCCGCCATGTACGCGCTCATCCTCGCCGGCGGAAAGGGCGAACGCCTCCGTCCCCTCACCGACAATGTACCCAAACCCATGATCCCCCTGTGCGGCCGTCCCATACTCTGGCATCAGGTCCAGTGGCTGCGCGAGGCCGGCGTCACCGATGCTGTCTTTCTGGTTGGCCATCTCGCCGACGCGGTGCGGGACTATTTTGCCGACGGCAGCGATTGCGGCATCCGCGCCCACTACAGCCGTGAGGATGTTCCCCTCGGCCGCGGCGGCGCTCTCCGGCAAGGATTGTCGATGCTGCCCCAATCCGACGAGCCGGTCATCGCCACCAATGGCGACGTAATCACCGATGCTCCCATCGCCGACCTGCTTAACGACCACCGCGCCCGCCAACGCGAGAACCCCGACCACCTCGCCACCATCCTCACCGTACCCATGACCAGCCCCTACGGCATCGTCGACACCGATGCCAACGGCCTGGTGAGCCGGTTCCGCGAAAAGGCGGTCCTCCCCTACGCCATCAACGGCGGCGTCTACGTCCTCCATCCCGCCATCCGTGGCCTGTTGCCCGATTTCGGCGACCATGAGACCTCCACCTTCCCCGAGCTGGCCGCTGCGGGGCGCATGTCCGCCGTGTCCACCGCCGCCTTCTGGCGCAGCGTCGATTCTCCCAAAGACCTGCGCGAAGCCGAAGAGCACCTGTCCGCCCTTGCCGCCGACCCGGCCGAGGCGGTCCGGTGATCACGGCCGCACAGGCACAGCAGATCGCGGACACCGCCGCCAGGATCCGCGAAAACATCCAGCTGGCCATCGTCGGCAAGGATGACGTCATCGAGTACACCCTGGCCGCCCTGTTCAGCGGTGGCCACATCCTGATCGAGGACGTGCCCGGCATCGGCAAGACCACCCTGGCCCGTTCCCTGGCCTACTCCCTGGACTGCGAGTTCCGTCGCATCCAGTTCACCCCGGACCTGATGCCCTCCGACATCACCGGCATCCATTACTACAACCAGCACAACGGCGAGTTCGAGTTCCGGCCCGGCCCGGTGATTTCGCAGGTGGTGTTGGCCGACGAGATCAACCGCGCCACTCCCCGGACCCAGTCCGCGCTCCTGGAAGCCATGGCCGAGCGTCAGGTCACGGTCGATCAGGACACCGTGCTGCTGCCCGCGCCTTTCATCGTCCTTGCCACCCAGAACCCGATCGAGCTCGAGGGCACCTTCCCCTTGCCTGAGGCCCAGATCGACCGCTTCCTCCTCCGCCTGCGCTTGGGCTACCCCTCCGAGGGCGACGAAAACGCCATGCTCGAGCGCTTTGAAGATGCCGACCCGCTGACCTCCCTCCAGCCCGCGGCCACCGCCGACGATGTTGTCCGCATCCAGGGCCTGGTCCGCCAGGTCTACATCGACCCCGTGCTCCGAAACTACCTTGTCCAGGTGATCCGCGCCACCCGTGAGCACCCCGACGTTGAGCTCGGCGCCAGCCCCCGCGCGACTCTCGGCCTCTACCGTTGCGCCCAGGCCCTCGCCGGCATCCGCGGCCAGCAGTATGTCACCCCGGACGACATCAAGACCCTGGCCACGCCCGCTCTGGCCCACCGCGTCATCCTCAAGAGCATGGCCCGTCTCCGCGAGCGCAGCCAGGAATCCGTCGTCAACGAAGTCCTCGAAGCCCAGTCCGTCCCCATCTAGCGGCGCCGCTTGCGCCGGCCGCGCGTCCGCTGGTGTTGGGAAACATCCGGCCAGCACGGAATATTACGGGGAATCCAGCGCCACCGGGTTTTTCTACCTTGCGGTTCAGCCGCCGCCAATGCGGAGCTGCCTGGCGGAAATGGTTGCTGTCAGCGCGCTGGCGATGGTGAAGGTGAGACAGAGGTAGCCGATGCCCTGGTAGCCCACGCTCGCCAGCAGCAAGCCGGAAAGACCGGCCCCAAGCACTCCGCCGGCCTGGTTGCTGAAACCGATCAGACTCGCGCCCGTGGCCTTGGATTCCCCCGAGTGCTCCGTGCTGCCGGCCAGCAGCACCGGCGTCGTGATGCTCAATAGGCCCGATCCCACCGTGGCCACCGCAACCGCCGGCCAGAGCCCCAAATCGAAAACGAAGAACAGGAACCCGCAGACACCCCCGACCGTTGCGGTCACGGCCATCACCGCGACCCGGTAACTCTTCGTCGCCACGATCCCTGCGGTGTAGCTTCCCACCACCTGACCAAATGCGGAAATCATCAGCGGCAGTGCCACGAACCCCAGGCTCACGTCGTAGGCCTGTATCAAATAGGCGGCGAGAAAGCTGATTAAACTCCAGTAGGCCATGCGCTGGGCGACGTTCACCGTAACGGCCAGGCGAAAATAGTTCAGGGAAAGCAGTGACCGATACCTGGCAAAGAACACAAACCCGCGAACACGATCCCGGCTGTCCCGGGGATACCAGACCCAGTTCAAAAGTAACGCCGCGCCCAGGAACAGGCCCGCGAGTACAAAGGCGAACCGCCAGCCCCACAAGTCTGCGAAGAGGGCAATCAACGGGATGCTGATGGCCGAAGTCAACACCAGGGTGCTGGCGATGCCGCCGATGGCCTGGGCTCGCCTGGCCGGGGAGATGACGTCGGAAATCACCCCGATTGATGTGGGCGCGATGGCTCCCCCGCCCAGCCCAGCCAGTATCCTGAGGGCCATCATGATTTCGATATTGGGCGCGAAAGCAGAGGCAAGCAGGGACACCACCACCAGGAACACTCCGGCAAGCGCCATTGGGCGGCGGCCGATGGAATCGGCCAGCGGCCCCACCGCGACGATGGAGACCGCCCACGCCGCAAAGGTAGCCGTGGCCAATTGCCCCGCAACTGCCACCGAAACATCAAGGTCCCTGGCGATCTCCACCAGGAGCGCCGGCACCATCAATACCCCGGTTTGAGTTCCAAAAACGGCGAGACAGAGCAGGAAGTAGAACCAGGCCTTGTTGATCTCTTTGCCGGGTGTTTGTGCCGCCTCAATCATGATGTCGTTTGTCTCTGTTCCGGCGTGGTTGCCATTGTCAGTCACGGCTATTCACTGTATCAGGTCGATTCAATCGAAGGTCCGCCTGACCATGGCAATCCGTGCGGTTACGGCATAACCCGCGCAGGTTTCAGGAGTATCCATTCGTCACGGCGCTAACGGCAGCCGCGGGCAGTTGCATCTCCTCACAGATGCGCAGTTCTCTGACCTCGCCGCCTTCGTTGCGTTATCCACACCCCCTACGTACAATTACCCATCCGCACGTTCCTTGTGGTCTTCGGACTTCGCGCCAGCAACAGCAGGAGAGCAAATTGACTACTACCAACCAGACCGAAATCGTCCTCTACACCCACCCTGACTGCCCTTTCTCCGCGCAGGCCAAGATGCACTACCGCCGCCAGCGCGTGGCCTACACCGAGATCGACGTCTCCAAGCAGCCCGACCAGGTGCCGGCCCTCCTCGAGCTCTCCGGCGGCGAGCGGATCACCCCTATCATCGTCGAGAACGGCGTCGTCACCATCGGCTTCGAAGGCGGCTTTTGAGACTTCTAGCCCCGGGGCCGTGCGCCCCGTAAATCCCGCCAAAATAGTGACATCGCCTATTGCATCAATGGAACGCGCGTGCTAAACTTCCCGTGAATGCAAACCAGCCGTGCGGGAGACTGAAGATGGCAATCAACCCCGAAACCCTGAATCTCGACAAGAACAAGCTGGCCGCCCTCGAGGTCGCCCTCGGCCGTATCGAAAAGGACCACGGCAAGGGCGCAGTGATGCGCGGCGACGAGCAGGTCGCTCACCTCATCACCAACGTCATCCCCACCGGCTCTCTGTCCCTGGACCTGGCCCTGGGTGTCGGTGGCCTGCCCCGTGGCCGTGTTACCGAGATCTACGGCGGGGAGTCGGCCGGCAAGTCCACCCTCGCCATCCATATCATGGCCGAAACCCAGCGCATGGGCGGTCTCGCCGCCTACATCGACGCCGAGCACGCCCTGGACCCGCACTACGCCACCAATTGCGGCCTCGACCTGAACAACCTGCTCATCTCCCAGCCCGACTCCGCCGAGCAGGCCCTGGACATAACCGAGCAGTTGGTTCGCAGTGGCGCCGTCGACGCCGTCCTGATTGACAGCGTCGCCGCCCTGGTTCCCCAGGCCGAAATCGAAGGTGACATGGGTGATGTCCACGTCGGTATGCAGGCCCGCCTGATGTCCCAGGCTCTGCGCAAGCTCACCTCCACCATCAACCGCTCCCGCACCGCCGTCGTCTTCATCAACCAGATCCGAGAGAAGATCGGCGTCAGTTACGGGAGCCCCGAGGTCACCCCCGGCGGCCGCGCTCTCAAGTTCTACAGCTCCGTCCGCATCGACCTCCGCCGCAGCGAGTCCCTCAAGCAGGGCTCGGAGATCATCGGCAGTCGCGTGCGCGCCCGCATCGTCAAGAACAAGGTTGCTGCCCCCTTCCGTGTCGCCGAGTTCGACATCATGTTCAACCAGGGTATCAGCAAGGTGGGCGACCTGCTGGACATCGGCGTGAACCAGAACATCATCAAGAAGGCCGGCGCCTTCTACTCCTACGGCGAGACCCGTCTCGGCCAGGGACGCGAAAACTCCAAGAACTTCCTCCTGGAACACATCGAGATCGCCGACGAGATCGAGGCCCTCATCCGCGGTGACGAGGTGTCCGATGATGACCTGCCCGACGGCAACGTCAACGGTCACTTGGAAGGCGCTGCTGCCGATGGCGCCGCCTACGTCGCCAACCCCAACTCCGTCAGCCTGAACTAGCCGTCACCGGCCATGATCGACGCTCCGGCGAACCCACCACTCGTGTCCGAAGAGGCCTACGGCCAGGCTCTTCGGGTTGCCCTCCGCTACGTCAGCTTCAAGCCCAGAACGGTGGCGGAGGTGCGCCGGCGCGTCGGCCGTGACTTCGACCAACCCGCCGTGGAGCAGGTGCTCGCCTCCCTCAAGCGCTACTGCTACCTGGACGACGTCGAGTTCGCCAGCCAATGGCGCAACAGCCGCGACCGCCGCAAACCACGCGGGTCCTCGCTCATCCGTCGCGAGCTTCGCGCCAAGGGCGTCGCGGAACCCATCATCGACGATGCGTTGGTTGGCCTCGACGAGACTGACGCCGCCTACCGTGCCGGAGAACGGCGCGCTCAGCGATGGCTTTCCGGCGGCTCGATGCCCTACGCGAACTTTCACCGCAAGATGTGGGACTACCTGCAGCGTCGCGGCTTCCCCTCTGGCGTGACCCGGGACACCGTCCGCCGCCTCTGGGCGGAAAATACCGCAACGGACTGAACCGGCCTGACCTCGGCTCTCCGCGCGAGGATCCCGCCAGGCATCCGCGTCATTGGCGTCGCCCCTACAGCCTCACCCGCCCGATTGCGATCAGCACCCCGCCAATGAGCGCGAGAATACCCCAAAGGCTCAACGCCAGCCCTCCGGTCAGGACCATTGCCACCACCGAGCTGACCACCACCGTCCCGCCGGCAATGTACATCAGACCCTTGCTGCGCTTCAGGTTGACCACCCGGCTGATGATCTCCCCGGCCGCATAACCCACCACCAGGGGTGTGACCAAAAGCGCCACCAGCCGCGTTCCGGTGAAGAACACCAGCGTTAGCCACAGGACCACCCCGAGCACGCCGATCACCGCGGCAACTGCGGCGGCCTTCGCGTAGTTTGCCGGCCGCACGTCGAACGTCGGCATGGGCACCGCCCGGCCGCATTCCCGGCATCGGATCCCCACCGGCGCCTGCACCAGGCAATTCGTGCATATCGCCCGCTTGCACTGGCTGCACGATAACCCCGTCGGCACCGCCGGATGCCAGTGGCACGTCATCACTTGAGATTCGGTCTGCTGTTCTGCCATACCCTCGTTATCCCCTGGAGTGCTGCTTATTTGGTCATGGCTGGTGCGATGGCGACGCGGCAATCCCGCTACCATCGCAACCGCCCCGGCACGAACGGACGCCCGCGGTGCGCCGGGTCATTCGATTTCCCTGAATGCCATTGCGAGCAATCCAATTATCATCGCAAGCCACTCAAATGTCATTCCGAGCGCAGCGTGGCGATCTCGCCGCCGCAGCATCGGCTCTTGCCGAAACTGTCTCCGTCGCTCCGTGACTGCCGCGTTGTGCCCTTCGACGGCAACAATTCGGTGACCCTGCCGCACTGCGCTGGAGATGTGACGCCAGGGCGCCCACCGGTCGTTACCCCGTATCCTTCCGGTACTCTGCGGTGCGGGCGAGCCATGCCTCCCGGTCCGCGATGTCCCGGTCCCGCACCAGCCGGTTGAACATCACCGTGCTCCAGGGGACGTCCGCCGGAGCCGGCTTGCCCGTTCGACGCCAGCCGCTTCAACAGGATCAGGACCGCTCCCCCCGCCGCGAACACTGCCAACTGCTCGTTGCCTCCGACCAGCAGCCATCGCTCCGGCCACGCCAGCGCCAGCAGCGGCAGCGCCAGCATCACCGCCAGCAGCCACTCCGCCGACCGTCGCGTCACCCGCCACCCCAGCAAATACAGCGCCAGGGCCACCGCGAAAAAGGGCGGCGACATCCCCAATATCCCCCCGGCCCACGCGCCCACGCTCCTGCCTCCGGTGAAGCGCAGGAACGGCGACCAGTTGTTGCCCAAAATCGTGAACAACGGCGTCGGCATCAGCCACCAGCCCATGTCCCCCAGACCCAGCGCGTACTGCCCTGCCAGTATCGGCCCCGACCCACGCCCCAGGTCGATGAAGGTGGTGGGCAACAACCACTTCCTTCCCATCTGGCTGGCCAGGTTGCTCGCGCCCACGTTGCCGCTGCCGTGTTGCCTCAGGTCGATCCCCCCCAGCGCGCGACCCAGCCAATACGATACCGGCGCCGCCCCGATCAGGTATGCAACCACCCACAGGCCGATCAGCGTTGCCGTTTCCCCCGGCACGTCGGCAACTCCGCTGTTGCCAGGATCCCAGCCGTTACCGCCCTACCGGCGGAATACCAATTGGCGGGCGGCTTCTTCCAGCCGTTCCACCGTCTCCATGGGCGGCCCGTTGACGCCGGGGAATGGCTCCCGCGAGTTCCCGCTGTGGTGATAGTCGCTCCCGCCGCAGGGGATCAGGTCGTACGCCCGCGCCACGTCCGCCAGCCAGTCCACCGTCGCCTCGTCGTACATCGCGTAATGCACTTCCATCCCGTGCAGGCCGGCCGCCTTCAGTTCCTCAACCGTCTCGATCAGCGATTGCTCCGGCTCCGGCTCGTTGCCGCGCCGCTCGAACCACGGGTGCGCGAACACCGCGACGCCGCCCACGTCGTTCAGCAGTTTCACCGCGTCGGGCGGGGTCAGCTTGGCCCGCTCCACGTACGCCTTGCCATTGCGCCCCAGGTATTCCCGGAAAGCGTCCGACGGCTCGGAGAAATAACCCGCTTCCACCAGCGCCTGCGCCACATGCGGTCGCCCCACCGAGGCGTCCCCGGCTATCTCCCGCACCCGCTCCCACTCGATGTGCATCCCGAACTCCGCCAACTTCTGCACCATCCCTTCGCCGCGTGCCAGCCTCCCCTCGCGGAATCCGGCCAGCGTCTCCTGGAATCCGGCGTCCGTCACGTCCATGAAGTAACCCAGCATGTGCACTTCGCCGCCGGGCACGTCGCAGCCCAGTTCGATGCCGGGGATCAGCCGCATGCCGGGGACCTTGTCCACCGCCCTTTGCGCCTCTGCCAACCCCGCCGTGGTGTCGTGGTCGCTCACCGAAATCGTCCGCAACCCCTTGGACGCGGTCAATTCCACCAGCTCGGTCGGCGTCAAGCGCCCGTCCGACGCGGTGGTGTGCAGGTGCAGGTCAACAGAAATTGCCATCAGGTCTCCCAGAAAGCGTGGATGTTCTTCTCGTTATGCTTCAACCCGGCGGTCGATCCGCACTATGTCCCGGGCGTGGCCCGTGTCGTCGTCAATGTCGATCAAGACGGAGTTCAGTATGCAGGCCCCCTTGGCCGGCTCAAACCGCTGCGGCAGACCGGTTCGGAACCGTTCCAGCACCGGCGCAACCTCGGTGCCGATTACCGAGTCCTGCGGCCCGGTCATGCCCAGGTCGCTGACGTAGGCGGTCCCGCCCGGCATGATGCGTGCGTCGGCGGTTGCCACGTGCGTGTGCGTCCCCACCACTGCGCTCACCCGGCCGTCCAGGTACCAGGCCAGCCCCTGCTTTTCCGAGGTCGCCTCGGCGTGGAAGTCCACCACCACCGCTTTCGGCGCGAACCCCAACTCGCTTTGTGCCTCGGCCAGCCGCGCGTCGGCCTCCCGGAAGGGGCAGTCGATGGGCGGCATGAACACCCGCCCCTGCAGGTTCAGCACCATCACGTCGCCGAACATCATCCAGCCCCGACCCGGCGCGCCGTAGTAGTTCGCCGGCCGCAGCAGCGGCAGTTCCTCCATGTGGGGCAGGATTTCCTTCTTGTCCCAGATGTGGTTGCCGGACGTCATCACGTCAACGCCGGCCTGAAGCAGTGCGTTGGCCGTCTTGGGGGTCAGGCCGAACCCGCCGGCCGTGTTCTCCGCGTTGGCCGTGACCAGGTCGATAGTTAGTTCGCGGCGCAGCTCGGGCAGCAATTCAGCCAGGGCGCTGCGTCCCGGCTTCCCGATTATGTCCCCAATCATCAACACTCGCATAACATCATCCGTAAGGGGCGACTCATGGCCGCCCCTTCTGGTTGCGTAGATTAATCCCAGCCGGGCGCTTATCTGGCGATGCTTTCCTCGCGGGTTTCGCGGATCACCGTGATTTTGATCTGTCCGGGGAACTGCAGGTCCTTCGACACCTTGCCGGCGATGTTCCTCGCCAGGCTGGCGCAGGCCACGTCGTCCACATCCAGGGGACTGACCATCACCCGAACCTCGCGGCCGGCCTGGATGGCGAAAGCCCGCTGCACTCCGTCGAAGCTGTAGGCCATGTCTTCCAGCTCCCTGAGCCGTCTCGTGTACTGCTCGATGGATTCCTTGCGCGCGCCCGGGCGGGCGGCGCTGATCGCGTCGGCCGCAGCCACCAGGAACGACTCGATGCTGGTATGATCGTCGTCGTGGTGCTCCAGCACGCAGTTGCACACCAGCGCCCCGACGCCGTTGCGCGTCGTCAGGTCGTAGCCAATCTCCGCGTGCGGCCCCGGTATTTCGTGGGTCAATGCTTTGCCGATGTCGTGGAGCAGGCCGCCGGCCCGCGCCATCTGCACGTTCGCGCCGACTTCCGACGCCAGCATTCCGGCCAGCAGTCCAACCTCGATCGAGTGCGTGAGCACGTTTTCGCCGTAGCTATAGCGATACTTGAGCCGCCCCAGCAGCTTGACAAGCTCGGCGTCCAGCCCGCTCACTCCAACCTCAAAGGTGGCCTCCTCGCCGGCTCGCCACATCGTCTCTTCGATGTCGCGTTCCGCGCGGTTGACCGCCTCCTCGATCCGGGTGGGCTGAATGCGCCCATCCTTCACCAGTTGCGTCATCGCCAGCCTGGCAATCTCCCGGCGCACCGGGTCGAAGCAGGATAGCGTTACTATTCCGGGCGTGTCGTCAACGATGATGTCCACGCCGGTGTGGGCCTCAAGGGCCCGTATGTTACGTCCTTCACGGCCGATGAGACGACCCTTCATCTCATCGTTAGGCAGGGAAACAACAGCTGTCGTGCTCTCCGACACCACGTCGGTGGCAAGACGATTTATGGCGAGCGTGAGGATACGTCGGGCGTTATCGTCCGCCCGGGTTTGGTGTTCCTTCTCCAACTCATAGTAGCGGCGAGCCAGTTCGTGGGATGCTTCCTCTTCGCCGCGCTTCAGCACGATGCCTCGCGCATCGTCAATTGACAGCGATGCGATCCGTTCCAGCTCTCGATTGTGCAGGTGTTTCAGGTCCTCGGCTTTTTGCAACTCGGACTTGGCGTGCGTTTCCCGTTCCTCCAGTTCCGACTCTTGCTGCTCCAGACCCTCCACTTTGCGGTCAAGCTGCTCTTCTCGCTGGATGTAACGGCGCTCCATGCGGTTGAGCTCGCGCCGTTGCTCCGTGATCTCCTTGTCACCGGCCTCGCGGATTTTCAGCGCCGCTTCCTGCGCCTGCAGGAGGATGTTCCGCTTCTCCTCTTCGGCTACGGTGACCGCGTTAGCAGCCTCCTCTCGGCTGCGTTCCAGTTGGTTTCCGCCTTTCTTGGTTGACAGCAGCAGCCAAACCACTGCTGCTATCCCTGTTGCTAGCCCTGCTGCCGCCAGGACGGCAAGGACGATTTCTAGCATCAGATCCCCCCATTCCGTCCGAGCGTTAGCTCGGGAGATTTTGCCCTGAATATATCCTAGTGTTGGCCCTGTTCAAAGTCAAGAAACGCCTCGGTAACTGTTCAGACTTGAGGGGAAATCAGCAGCCTGCGGCATTCCATGAAGGGATTAGGACCGTTGGCCCGCCAGGCACCGAAGAGGGACGCCTGGGTAATTTTGCTGTCGCTGCCTTGTTGCCAGGCGGTCCCCCGTTGATTGTCCGGCTGATTACCCACCTATCGACATCAACTCCGACTATACTCAAAACAGCTACTTGCTTACGTGCGTTCAACGCGGAAGGGGAAATCGTGGTGTGGCTCCGGACTGGTTGCGAAATTACTTTTGACGTCAGCATTCCTACGCCCTTGATACTGATGCTTCGTCCGCTGAGCGGAGCACATCAGCGGGTGGTGGATGAAACTTTCACATTGCGGCCGAGCGTCCCGGTAGGCGAGTATTTGGACAACTACGGCAATCTCTCCAGGCGACTGATCGCTCCCCCTGGGGAGTTTTCCATCCGTGCATCTTCGAACGTCCTGACGTTGGAGGACATTGACGTGTCGCCTGGCGCGCCTTTTGTTGAGGTGCAGGACCTTCCGGACGCACTGCTAACTTACCTGCATCCCAGCCGTTATTGCGAATCCGACCGGTTTACTGACCTCGGCAGGGAACTCGTAGACGGCATCAAGCCGGGATACGATCAAGTAGCCAGAATTGAAGAGTGGATTCGCACCTCGGTGCGCTACGAACCAATTGCCAGCAATTTTCAGATGTCGGCGGTTGAGGTCAACCAGCAGCGCGAGGGCGTTTGCCGCGAACTTGCTCATTTGGGCATCGCGTTGTGCCGGTCTCTCTGCATACCGGCGCGCATGGTCGTGGGCTATCTGCACGGACTTGAGCCGATGGATTTCCATGCTTGGTTCGAGGCGTATGTGGGTGGCCGCTGGTACACCTTCGACGCCACGCAGGACGCTCCTCGGGGAGGTCGGGTTACCATCGGTTATGGGCGTGATGCCGCCGATGTGGCGATATTCAACCAATTTGGCCCGGCGCTGTATCCGAGGGTGATGCAGGTACGGACCGAGAAGCTCGATGCACTCCCCGGAAGCCAGTGAGAGTCCGGAACCGCAGGAACAACCTATTCCGCACGTAGGTGGGCCTGACGATCTTCGGCTTCGCGTGGATTGTCTAGGAGTCCTTGACCATTGGGCTGTTTCAGAAAATTGCGAAACTAGATTTGCGCATTGGTGAACATCAACACGCCTCGCTCCAGCCAGGGTCATTCCGTTCCCTCGGAAAGTCATAATCAGAGGCCTCGATCTCAGCGTCCGCGACCTGAATCCCACGACCTGAAAGTCCTGGCGGTCAGCCCAAAGTCCTGGCGAGCGAAGCGCGGCAATCGCGCTCCCGCAATCGGTTGTTATTCCTCATGCGTACCCAGTCTGACGGAACTGCCATTATGCGTACCCAGTCCGTCGGAACCGTCATTGCGAGCGCAGCGTGGCAATCTCGTTGGGACGGCGGCGTCGGTTGCGTCAAGGAGACCGCCGCGTCGCTGCGCCCCTCGCGATGACGAAGTGGGTACGCATGAGGTTGTTATACTGACCGGCCACGTCCCCTCCGTCCGCGGACCCGCGCCAGAGCATCATCGCGGCAACCTTATGCCTTGTCTCGCATCCCGGAGGCCCCTTTGCAACTGACCGAACGGACCCGCATCAGGAACCATCCCGAACGCGCCGTCCCCGAGGAGACCGCAGAGATCCTGTCCCAGGGATTGGTCGCCCACCTCGGCTTTATCGAGGATGACGTCCCCTTCGTCATACCCTTCACCTACCACTATGATGCGGACACTCCGGACCTGATCTACCTCCACGGGTCCATCCGAAGCCGCGCCCTGCAGCATCTGGCCACCGGCGCTCCCGTCTGTATCACGGTCACCCTCACCGACGGCCTGGTGTACTCCCGCAAGGCGATGAACCACTCCGTGAACTACCGCAGCGTCACACTCTTTGGCGCTGCCCGAGAGGTCACCTACGAACGCGAAAAGTTTGACCTGTTCGACCGCATGGTGCAGCGCTACTTCCCCGGGCGCGCGGTGGGTCACGACTACGACGCGCCGCCTCCTGCCGACCTCGGTGTCACCGCGTTGGTCGAGGTCAAGATCGAAGAACGGAACGCCAAGGCACGCCGGGGCAACCCTACCGGTCCGGACGACGACAAGCCGGACGCGATGGGTTCGGCCGGCGTGATCGATCTCCGTGAGCCGTAGCCGTCAGTCGACGCCGTCGGCGGCAGCTCCATTGCGCCGCCGTCCTGAGCCGCAGGACCGGACCGCCAGATTCACGCGACGCTTTCCGGGAGCATAGCAGAGCAATGCAGAACCCAGACACAGCCCACCCGCCTTCAGTGCCCACGCCCGCGTTCGGCGGCCGCATCATCGTCCCCGGACTGGCCACCGGACACATCGTGTTCCACTGGATCGTGCAGAGCTTCGTCGTCGTGCTGCCCGAAATCCAGCAGGCATTCCAACTCAACACCGTGGGCGTCGGCGGAATCCTTTCCGCCCGCGAGTTGGCTTCAGGGTTGGTCGCGCTTCCCGGCGGGGTGGTGGTGGACATTCTCCGGCGGTACTGGGGGCAGCTTTTGGCCTCGTGTCTGGCCGTCTCCGCCCTGGGTTGCCTGGCCATGGGCATCTCGCCGGTGTACCCGCTGCTTCTGGTTGGCATGGCGGTGGTGGCAATCTCCCATTCCATTTGGCACCTGCCCGCGTCCGCGTCACTGTCCCACCACTTCCCTCAGCGTCGCGGGATCGTGCTGGCCGCCCACGGCGTCGGGGGCAGCGTGGGCGATGTTGTCGGACCTGTGGCCACCGGCGCGCTCCTGGCCTTTCTGACCTGGCGTGAACTGCTCAGCGTATATGCGGCGGTGCCCTTTTTCATGGCGGCGGTGGCCATCTGGTCCTTCCGCCACATTGGGCGTGGCCGGGAGGAGCCGAGCGTCGAGCTCTCGGAACGCGTCGGGGCAACCCGCCGTCTGCTGCGCACCCCCGTCCTGTGGGGGTTGACGGCGGTTCGCGGTTTCCGGGGCATGGCCCTGGTCGCGCTGGTCACCATCCTGCCCCTCTACCTCAGCAATGAGCTCGACATGGGCACCGCCAACCGGGGCTTCCATATCGGATTGCTGATCGCCGTTGGCCTGGTCGCCAAGCCCGCCGCCGGCTTCCTGTCCGACCGGTTTGGCCGCAAGCAGGTGTTGGTCCCGGGCCTGGCCTGGTCATGTCTGGCGGCCCTGGCTTTGACGGTGTTCGACACGGGCCTGCCACTCACCATCACCATCGCGCTGCTGGGCCTGTTCCTCTACCCCGACCAGCCCATCCTGACGGCGTCGGTTTTCGACGTCGTCGGTAGCGAGGTGGCCTCCACCGGCCTGGGCATCGTGGCCTCCATCGCCTTCCTGATGTCGGTGTTCTCCCCGCTCATCGCCGGTGCCCTTTATGAGACCTTCGGCTTTGCCGCGACGGTGTACTACATCGGCGCCCTGTTCGTCGCTGCGGGGGTGGTGTTCGTCGCCCTCCCGCTGTCGCCGCTCCAATCGGAAGCCAGCGAGGAATGAACGCTGCCGGTCGGTCCCGGATGGCAGCCTGTGCCCGGTATCCGAAGGTCTGCAAATAAACCAGGGCCCGCGGTTCACACGCCCGCGGGCCCGGTCTCGGCGTTATTGCCCGCGGCTTCGCCTACTTCAGGGCGATGGTGTTGCAAATTGGGCCTGGACTGGGGTCCGGTGCCGGCAGCTCTATCAGCGCAATCGGCACGAGCGCACCTTCTTCCCAGCCCAGGCTCTCCCCAAGCATCCAGCTGTGTATGTTCCTGTCGCTGCCCAGCGCCTTCGACTCGGACACTTGAAACTGGTCATCGTCGACCTGTAGCACCAGGTTGTCGTGCAGCGGATGGTCGGCTTCAAAAATCAATTGATGGACTGTAATCAATTGATGGACTGTGCCGCTGAACCCCTGTTCAAATATGGCCCTGATGTCATAGTCCACCCCGTCGTGGCTGAACCCCGTATCGTCCAGGGCCCCTGCGGTACCCGAATTGAGCGGGAAGTATCCCGTGTACACCAGGATGGGATTACCCGGGTCTTCAGCCGTCCCAACCGTGATTTCGGCGGACCAGACCGTTTCCATCGCGGTTTCGTCCGCGGAACTGATCGCCCCTGAGCCCGAACCTATGGCGTGCTCCATTTCAGCGGACCATACGTCGGCCATCGTGTGGTTGCCGGGAATGCCGAGCGGCTCACAGAACGACTCCTGCACAAGCCCGCCATCTCCGTCCATCGGCGCCGGCATGGGTTCGTATGTTGCTTGAGGTCCAAGCGCGGCGTCCACGCTGTCGGTTTGCAAATTGGTCACCACGACCAGGGCTAACGCCAGCGCCAGGGTCCAAAGTATTATCGTCCCGAATGTTATCTGTCGTTGCGGCGCGTATCCGCGCCTGTCGTTCCGCTTCGTTATCTGCGGAGTCATCTTATCCTCCTTGGCTGTGGTTATCCCGGATCTCCTTGTCCGCGCGGCGTATCCGATGAACAAATACTATATATTATTTATGTAGATAATATATATCCCAGCGCCCGCCCTGTCAACGGTTTTGCCCCAACACCAGGGTCATTCGAGTAGCGAGATTTCTTTCCCATCATTCCCGATTATCCCCTGACTCAGGGTTTCCTTCCCGTCATGCCTGACGTCTTTCCCGTCATACCTGCGGAAGCACGAATCCAGAGACTCCCTGCAACAGAGCCTTAACCCTTGAGCAACAATCAGGAGTGGCGGTCAACCGTATTGCGAACAATCGAAAAGCCCGGCCCAACACCGTCTGCCGTGCGGACAGCCGAACGATGTGCTCCGCCCCGAAGGCGCGCCGTATCAGTTCAGATGGCGCGCTGGGTAATGTCTCATTTTGAAATGGCGTATTAGGCGCAACCAGCAGCCAACCCAATCGGCGGCAACGATGCCACCCGCCGCTTCACCAAGCGAGCCGCAGGATGTCATACTACCGTCACTGAGAACAGCGCGTGAAGACAGCAGGGAGAGACTGCCATGACCACCCCCGGAGCCGACGCCTTCATCAGGCAACTCGACCAGGACCCGGAACTCCTGGAACAGGTGCGCGCTCGCATCCTCACCCGGGAATTGCTCCAACTCCCCGAAACCGTTGCCCAACTGGCCGCAGCCCAACAAGAAGCCGCCGGACGGCTGGATAGCCTGCAGACCGGCCAGGACAGCCTGCAGGCCGGACAGGAGAGCCTGCAGACCGGCCAGGAACAGGCCAACAGTCGGCTCGATGACCTGACCACGGCCCAACAAGAAGCCGCCGGACGGCTGGACAGCCTGCAGGCCGGCCAGGAACAGGCCAACAGTCGGCTCGATGACCTGACCACGGCCCAAGAAGAAGCCACCCGACGGCTGGCCAGCCTGCAGGCCGGCCAGGAGAGCCTGCAGGCTGGCCAGGAACAGGCCAACAGTCGGCTCGACGATCTGACCACGGCCCAAGAAGAAGCCACCCGACGGCTGGCCAGCCTGCAGGCCGGCCAGGAGAGCCTCCAGGCTGGCCAGGAACAGGCCAACAGTCGGCTCGACGACCTGACCACCAGAGTGCAGAACCTTCAGGGCAACTTGGGCAACCTCACTGGCACTGCCTACGAAAACCGGGCTGCACGCCTCGCCCCAAGACTCCTGACACGCTACCTCCGTATGCAAAACACCCAGGTGCTTCAAGCGCCTAACGCCGATACCCGACCCTACCTGGACCGCCTGGTAAACCAGGGCGTGACCGACGGACGAATCAGCGACGAGGAGGCCCAGCAGCTGGAACGGGCCGACATGATCGTCACCACCACCACCACCGGCGACGCGCAAACAGCCTACGTGGTCATCGAGGCCTCCGTCACCGTGGACGACACCGACATCGACCGGGCCCATCAGAGGGCATTGATAATGGCCCTCATCACCGATGCGCCCACCCAAGCCGCGGTAATCGGCCAGGACATCTCCCCGACCAACCGCCAGAGGGCGGACGAACTCGGCGTCACCTTCATGCCCCTCAGCCAGTAGTTGCCTGAAGCCACATTAAGCCATTTCAAATTGAGGCACTACCGCGCGCCTTCCGCTTATTGACCAGTCCCGGCCGTTGCCGGTACCATTAGAGGCCGGCGGGGTTCCATCCCCGTCCCATCACACTGCGGGGGTTGAAATGAGTTCGAGTTACATCGGCAAGGTGGACAAGGCACGCAAGTACGCCGAGGAGCCGGAGCGGGTGAACATCCACACCTTCGAGGCTTCCTTCATCGGCAACCACAACACTTATCGGGTCGCTTACAGCGAAGGGGATTGGAGCTGTGAATGCGCCTTTTTCGCCACCCGACGCGTGTGCAGCCACACCATGGCCCTGCAGCGAATGCTCGACGAGGTGCTGGCAGGACACGCTGCCGAAGCCGCCGCTGACTGAACGGCCGTCTTCAACCTGTACCTATCGCGATAAACCGCCGGCGTCTTTCGGGACGCCGGTAAATTTTTACCCCGCCCTGAGCGACGGGATCACTTCTCCCAGCGGCGGAACACCAGGCACGCGTTCTGCCCGCCGAACCCGAAGGCGTTCGACAGCACGACTCCAACATCCGCCGCGCGCGACTCGTTCGGCACGTAATCCAGGTCGCAGTCCGGGTCCGGCGACTCTTGGTTCACCGTCGGGTGGATGCGTTGGTCCATGATGGTCTTGACGCACGCCACCGCTTCCAGCGCGCCCGATGCTCCCAGCGAGTGTCCGATCATTCCCTTCGTGCTGCTGATCGGCACCTTGTAGGCTGCGTCCCCGAACAGCCGCTTGATCGCAACCGTCTCAGCCGCGTCGTTCATCGGCGTCGACGTCCCGTGCGCGTTGATGTAATCGACGTCACCGGTGCCCAGCCCGGCATCGTCCAACGCTCCCTGCATGGCCTTGGCCGCGCTTTCCCCCGTTTCCTGCGGCTGGACCAGGTGCCCCGCGTCCGACGTCGCGCCGAACCCCACCAGCTCGCAGATGATGTTCGCGCCCCGCGTCCTGGCCCGCTCCGACTCCTCCAGCACCAGGATCCCCGCCCCTTCCGCCGGCACGAACCCGTCCCGCTCGGCGTCGAAGGGCCGGCTGGCCCGATGCGGCTCATCGTTCCGTGTGCTCAGCGCCCGCATCACCGCAAATCCCGCCAATCCCAGCTGGCTGATCCCGGCCTCTGTCCCGCCCGTGACCATCGCGTCCGCGACGCCGTGCCTTATCGCCATCAGCGCCTCGCCGATCGCGTTGTTGGACGCTGCGCATGCCGTCGTGACCGTCGAGTTGTACCCCCGCGCTCCCACGTACTGGCTCACGTTGGCCGCCGCCATGTTCGGCAGCACCATCGGGAAAAAGAACGGCGACATCCGCATCCCGCCCCGGTCGGCCAGGATCCGGCAGTTCTCCTCCAGCGTCGGGAACCCCCCGTTCCCGTTACCCAGCAGCACGCCCACCCGGTACGGGTCCTCCTGCTCCATGTCCAGCCCAGAGTCCGCCACCGCCTGCAACGCCGCCGCCACCGCCATCTGCGAGAACCGCGCCATCCGGCGCGCCTCCCGCCGGTCGATGAAGTCCGTCGGCTCAAAATCATCAGCCTGTCCCGCGATCCGGCAGGGATAGTCCGTCGGGTCGCACAGCGTCATCGGCCCGATGCCCGACACGCCGGCCACCAGGTTGCTCCAAAATGCGTCCGCGCTCAGGCCCAGCGGCGTGATCGCCCCGAGGCCGGTCACCACCACGCGCCGTCGCCCGTTTTCGGTCTGTTTCATGCGGGCAATTGTAGCAGTCGCGTTCCGGTTAACGTAAATCCGGCGGCAGCAGGTCGGGATAGGTCTCCGGTTCTATCCCCAGGATCGCCTCCCTCGCCTCGGCGACCACGAACAGCGACCCCGTGACCAGCACCAGGTCGTCAGCGTCCGCCGCTGCCACGGCCTCCGCCACCGCTGCTCCCGTGTGCGCGGAGATGCCGACCCGGTCCGGCGCCATCCCCTGATCCAGGAACTCCTGCGCGATCTCCGCCGGCCGCATCGAGCGCGGGTGTCGCGAGCGCGTGGCAATCACCTGGTCCGCCCGCTCCGCCAGCAGCTCGACCATCGCGTCCACCCGCTTGTCCCGTGAAAACCCGGCCACCACTATCAGGTTCCGGTGCGATACGTAGGTCGACAGCGTCGCCAGTAGCGTCGCTACCGAGTGGTCGTTGTGCGCCCCGTCCACCACCACCGTCGGCTCTTGCCGCAGCGCCTCCATGCGCCCGGGCCACTCCACCGACTCCAGTCCCCCTGCAATCGCATGGCCGTCAATCGAGTACCCGGCGTCGGCCACGCCTCCGCCGCGCCCACCGCCGTGGCTGCGTTCGCCCCCTGGAAATCCCCCAGCAACGGCAGCCGAAGCCGGTAGGTGTCCCGCCGACCTCGTATCTCCAGTCGCTGACCCTCCGCCGATGCCTCCTCAACCTCCCAGGTGATGTCATCGCCGATGCGGATCATCGCCGCGGACTGCTCGGCGGCGGCCCGGTTTATCGCCTCCATCGCCTCGGGGAATTGCGGCCCAACCACCACCGGCGCTCCCCGTTTGATGATCCCCGCCTTGTCTGCTGCAATCTCCCCGATGGTGTCCCCCAGGATCGCCATGTGGTCTAGGCTCACCGGCGTGACCACGCTCACCTCCGGCGTCACCACGTTGGTCGCGTCCAGCCGCCCGCCCAGTCCAACCTCGATCACGCTCACGTCGACGGCGTCTTCCGCAAAGCACTGGAAACCCATCGCCGTCAGGTACTCGAACAGCGTCGCAGGACCCGCCTCCGGATCGGCCGCGTTGTCCAGGTGGTGCGGCCATACCGCGTCGGTTAGCGTCGCGAAACGCTCCCGGGAAACCGGCTGGCCGTCCCGCCGAATCCGTTCGCAGAAGGAGTGCAGGTGCGGCGACGAATAGAACCCCGTGGAATATCCCGCCGCCCGCGCTATCGACTCCACCATCGCCGCCGTGCTGCCCTTGCCCTTGGTGCCCGCCACGTGAACCGTCCCCCGCTGTCGGTGCGGGTCGCCCATCCGACCCAGCAGCCGCTCCACGTTCCGCAGGTCGTAGATCCGCTTCTGTCGCGGCTGCGCCGGAACCGAACGCTCGTGGTCTACCAGGCCCAGCAGCCGGGCGACCGCCTCCTCGTAACTCGCCGGCACGATCCCTGCTAGCTGCCCGTGGACAATCCCAGGTTGATACGGATGGCCTGGCCGGCCGTCATGCTTCGCACGTGGTCGATGTTTCCGTACAGCGGTCTCGGCCGGAACCCGAAGTGACGCTCCACTGAGCCCGGCTCGGCCACGTTCCGCAGCGTTACCAGCTGCAGCATCGCCCGGTTTATGGGGGCCCGGGGCGTCAGCTTCTCCATGATGGTCACGGGCAGGCGGACCTTCCACAGCGGCACGTTCACCCGCCGCCTTTTCTTGCCCAGCGTCCGCGCCACGACGCCCACGATTTCGTTGTAGGACAACTGCTCCGGCCCGCCGATCTCGATGGTCCGGTTGCCCCGGGCGTTGCCGCTGACCGACAGGAGGATGCACCGGGCCACGTCATCGACATGGATCGGCTGCAGGCGGTTATTGCCGGAACCAATCACCGGTACCAGGGGCATGGTTCGCACCAGAGCCGCCACCGCCGTGGTGAACTCGTCCCCTGGCCCGAATATCAGCGACGGGCGCAGGATCACGTGCGGCAGCCCACTGCCCGCCACCGCCTGTTCACCCTGCCATTTGGAGTGCAGATACTGGAGCCGCGGCGTGTTGGCCGCCCCCAGCGCGCTGACGTGGATGAACCGTTTTACCGAGCCCGCCGCTTTGGCCGCCTCGACCACGTTGGCCGTGCCCTGCCGGTTGACGTCGTCAAACTGCCTCGGGCCGCCGCGTATCACCGCCACCAGGTGGATCACCGCCGTTGCGTCCCGGCACGCCTCCGCAAGGGCGTCGGGATTGCTCACGTCCCCGTAGCAAACGTCCGTCGGCGGCGTGGCAAGCGCGCGCTCGCTGCCCGGACGACGCACCATGACCCGTACTTCGTGGTTGGTCTCCAGCAGTTGCTGGACCACCCGTCGCCCCAACAATCCCGTGGCCCCGGTTACCAGAACGGTCATGATGATGCTCGATGTATCGCAGTGTAAACGGTTGCTCTGAGTATGAGCCCAGTATATCACCCGCCCAATGCGGGCGCGGGGGATCGCCCGAGCAAAGGGGCATCCTCCCGTCGGTCCACAACGTGATGCCGCCGCTCCACGCCCGCATGATGACCTTGTCGCATCACCTGCTCGGCGCAGAGCCGTCGCCCGTCGTACAATCGATCCCCCGCCCATCGACCCCCCGCCCACTCCAAAGCCTGGCATCTTGACGCGGGGAATGACACCAGGCGGCGGACGCGGGGCACCCATCGGTTTTTGGCAAGAGCCATTGCTACGGCACCGAGATTGCCGCGCTTCGCTCGCAATGACGGTGGGGTCGCTCGCGATGACATTTAGGCAATTTGAATGACCCTGGGCTCGCACCACGCGCTGGGCGTGACCCCTGTCGAACCGTGCCCGTCATCACGGTTTCTGCCTTTTGTGGTATCCTGTGCCCGCGCCGGCGGTGGGCCGGCGTGCATTTTGTCAGCTATCCCCGGAGGTCCCGCTTTGTATCAGACCGTAAGCGATGCCACCCTGCAGGCGCTGTCCAAAATCGACTCCCCCAGCATCTGCAACGCCATCGAGGGGTTCGACTTCCGCCCCAAGAACAGCGGCTTTCATGCTGCCGGAGATCAAGACCGTTTTTCCAGGACTTCCCGCCCCTGGTCGGCTACGCCGTCACCGGCGTCATCTCCGCCAATCGTCCCGAGGGCCGCAGCGTCGCCCGCGAGGACTGGTGGGACCTGATCGTATCGGTTCCCGAGCCCAGGTTCATCGTCCTGCATGACATCGACAACCCGCCCCTCGGCGCCTACTGGGGCGAGGTGCAGTCCAATATCCACCGGGCCCTGGGTGCCGTCGCCGTCGCAACCGACGGTACCGTCCGGGATCTGGACGAGGTCCGCGCCCTGGGGTTCCAGTTCTTTGCCAAAGAGGTTTCGGTGTCCCACGCCTACGTCCACATGGTCGACATGGGCATCCCCATCGAAGTGGGCGGCCTCACCGTCCAGACCGGCGACCTCCTCCACGGCGACAAGCACGGCGTCACCAATATCCCCTTCGATCTCGCCGACCGTATCCCCGATATGGTCAGCACCATCGCCGATTATGAACAGAAGACCATCAGCCTCTGCCAGTCCTCCGATTTTTCGCTGGACGCGCTGAAAGAGGTGGCCAAGATCACACGCCCCTACTGACCTGGTGACATGATAACTCCAAGCAAAATACTTTCCGTACTCCTGCTCGCCGGCGTCGCCCTCCTGAGCTTCGCGGCTTGCAACCTCATCACCCCGCCTTCCCTGGGCCAGACCGAACCCGCGGCATCCCCTCCGGCTGGCTCCGGTTCTGCTGGTTCAGCGCCAATCCCAACGGCAACGCTGATCTCTGGCTCGGCTTCCGGCGGAGCGGGCGCGCCCACTCCCGCCGTCCTGGTTTCCGGCGGGCGTTCCATGAAGCAGTGGTCTACCGCTCCTCCCGTGACAATCGACACTTCGGCCTCCTACACCGCCGTGCTCCACACCACTGCCGGAGACATCACGGTCGACCTTTTGACCTCCGACGCGCCGAATACCGTCAACAATTTCGTATTCCTGGCCCGTGAGGGTTTCTACGACAACGCCATCTTCCACCGCACCATACCGGGGTTCATGATCCAGGGCGGCGACCCCACCGGCACTGGCTCCGGCGGCCCCGGCTATCGCTTTGCCGACGAGCCGGTCAACCGCCCCTATTCCCGCGGCGTGATGGCCATGGCCAACGCCGGCCCGAATACCAACGGCAGCCAGTTTTTCCTCATGCACGCCGACTATGCGCTGCCGCCCAGCTACACCATATTCGGGCAGACTGTTGCCGGCGTGGAGACCATCGACAACATCGCCACCGCTCCGACCCACCCCGGCGGCCAGGGCTCGTCGCCCGTGAACCCGGTGGCCATCCAGTCAGTGGAGATCGTAGGCCCCTAGGTCAGGGCCCGCAAGTCATCGTTGCGACGAGCACCGCGACGCGGCGACCGCGTGACACCGGAACGGCTCTGACTGCCGGCCTGTGAATGCCGGCAACGCTTACCATTTTGCCGCCACGGCCGCCTTTGCTACGGGGGCCGGCGTGCGCAACCACGCACCCAAATGGACATAATGAATTTCGCAGGAGTGCGGTATGGCTTTTGAAACCCTGCTTTACGACGAGCAGGACGGCGTCGGCTACCTGACCCTCAACCGCCCTGACAAGCTCAACGCCCTCAGCCAGACCCTCATGGCCGAGTTCCGCGAGGCGCTCGAGGGGATCGAGGCCAACCCCGACGTCCGCGTGATTATCCTAACCGGCGCCGGCCGGGCCTTTTCCGCCGGTTTCGACATCGAGTCCGAGGCCGGCGGACCCGACGGCGAACCGCTATCGGTCGACGGCCGTCGCTCCCGCCTCCGGTACAGCATCGAGACCTTCCTGATGGTGTGGAACCTCAGCAAGCCCGTCATCGCCGCCGTCAATGGTTATGCCCTGGGCGGCGCCTGCGAACTGGTGCAGGTCTGCGACGTCAAGATCGCGTCCGACCGCGCCATGCTCGGTGAGCCCGAAATCCGCCTTGGCTACGGCGCTCCCTTCCTGATCACGCCCTACTCGGTGAACCTCGCCATGGCCAAGGAGATGATGCTCACCGGAGACATCGTCGACGCCCACGAGGCCGCGCGTCTGGGCATGGTCAACCGCGTCGTGCCCCACGACGATCTGCTCGCCGAGTGCCAGCGCGTGGCCCACAAGATCCGCAACATCCCCGCCATCGGCATCAAGACCACCAAGATCTCCGTCAACCGCGCCCTCGAGTCCGCTGGCTTCCTCTCGGCCCTCAACCATAACCTCGAGCTAATGACCCAGTTCGACACCGCCGACACCCCCGAGCAGGCCGAGTTCTCCCGGATCCGCGCCGAACAAGGCCTCCGCGCCGCCCTCGCCTGGAACCGGGCCCGCTTCGAATGACGCAAAAGGGGCGGACCATCGTCCGCCCCCATCGCGTTCTCGCCTTTTCGGCGCCCTATCCGCCGCGCTTCACCTCGACGTCGGCCATCTTCTCGATGAAGTGCAGAATGGCCGAGTGATCGGAGTCCTGTTCGCCATCGTTCATCAGCGAACCCAGCATCTGCTGTACCAGCGCCGTCACCGGGAGCGGCACGTTCAACTCGGTGGCCGTCTGCAGCACGTTGCGCAGGTCTTTCTGGTGCAGGCGGATGCGGAAGCCGGCGCGGAAGTTCCGGTCCAGCATCATCGGCCCCTTGGCCTCCATGACCGCGCTGCCGGCCAGCCCGCCCCGTATGGCGTTGAACACCCGCTCCGGGTCCACTCCCGCCTTCTGCGACAGGACCATGGCCTCGCTCAGCGCCTCGATGTTCGCCGCCACGATGATCTGGTTCGCCAGTTTCGTGATGTTGCCAGCGCCCACGTCCCCCGTGAGCACCACGTTGCCGCCCATAACCTGCAGCAGCGCCTCACACTGGTCGAAAACCGCCGTATCGCCGCCGACCATGACGGCCAGGGTCCCCGCGATGGCTCCCGGCTCGCCACCGCTTACCGGCGCGTCCAGGAACTCCACGCCCTTGTCGGCGCACGCGGCCCCGATCTTCTGCGACATCGACGGCGCGATGCTG